AAAAAAAACCCCATACATAGGGATTTTTTCCGTTTCTTTTGTACGGGCCAGTATGACGTGTGTATGTGTATTTTTTTGTCTTTTACGCGAATTTCACGGTTATTTTGTGTGTTGTTATAGAGATTAAAAACAGTCTGGCAGTGTGGGTGGCTGCAGCGCAGTATATATGTACGTATACTCGATATAGATTATGGCCTTAGAGGTATGCGATTTACGGTTTGAGTGCAAACAATCCAGACACGCATTACGGAGTTTTCTCGAACAAAAAAATTTATAATAACAACAACAGTATATAATAATAATATCATACAGGAAAAATAAAAGACCTGTCTCCTGCTGCCTCTTGGGTTACGCAAGAGCGTCGAGCGAACATAAAGAAATAAAACACCCATCTATATTATATTATATTATATTATATTATACAATTATAATATATAGATACGCGTGGTGTATAATATAATATAGAAGACAGCAGATATCTTGGTACTGTATACGACGTAGGGGTCTCGTATTTGTTCTTCCGTTCTTCCTTCGAAATTCCCGTGTAGATCTTCTGTATATATAATATCTGCACGTCCTAATACACTGAGAGAACACGAGAGCATGTTTTATTTTATTTTATTATCGCATCTCTCGAATTACACGCGCATGGTGTCTGTGGTAGGTACACGATATCGTTATATGTATACGGAACCACCCTTGCTTTTTTTTTCTAGCGAAAATCCAGACACAATGCACGATGTAGTTCAAAGTATATGTAGTCTACACGAATTTGAAAAGTGTAAATTAGCCACAGAGTGAGTTTTTTTTTCGTGCATATAAATTAGGTAGCGCGATGAACGTCTAAAATTCATTGGTTTGCTAGTTGCCAATAAAATTCCATGTATTGTAGGTATAATTATTATTATAAATAATTACGAAAGCGATGTGTTTTCCTGTGAGGAAACCAGTATACGAGCTTGTCATAATGACGACGATGCAGTATAATATATTGAATCAATATTAATTTTTCAATCAAATATTCTACTTAAAATCAATATTGTAAGTTAATTGTTTTGAATTTCGTTAATTTATTTTATAAACTTTTAAAATAAAAAAAAAAGCAACTATCAAATTGCAATTCGAAAAAATAAAAGATTTCGTTATTCAAAATAAAAATTCAAACGATTGTTCATTATAATGATTTAGAATCGGTACAAAGGGGCTGAGGTGAAGGGAAAAGCACCCCATGTTGCTAAAATATAATAACATTTTACAAAACACGTACATAGAACGATTTTCTATAAAAAAATAAATAAATAGGGGTTGTGTAATAATGAATATACACGTACAGGTATATGTTCAAAATATTTGAAAGTAAGTATTTATATGTGCAATAATTGTTTGTTTGTTTTTTAATCGTTTTATTAATTTTGTTCCACGAATATTGATTGTCAGTTATTTCATTAATTTTTTCCCCGAATACTATGGAAATATAAATTCAGAAGCATATAAAAATATATATAATCAAATATGTTTACTATTAATATTTGGTTCAAATCGATTGTATTAATTAAATAAATTGTAACGTTTCCATTCAAACCAATAATAATTACAAAAAAAAAAAAAAAATAAATAAATAAATAAGTTACAATTATGTACAAAGAACAATGATTAGTAAATAGTATTTAAAATTATATTATCATAAGCATAAATCAAATAATCGCCAACAAAGTTACCAAAAAAATGGTAACTTTAAAATTTATGAAAAAGTGTTCCTAAAGTAAAAGTATAAGAGTACACTGAAGACTAAAGTATCATACCTTTTAGTAAATTAACTGATACACGGATGAGATAGAATCTTTGAAATAGTATCTATGGAGAGGACTATACGTAAGTACCCATAGCATTTCCTCTCTTATTGTATTTACTCCTGCTGGCTGATTTTTATCTATATTGGTTATTATATTATTATTTTTTAATTAATTTGTGTATTAGTACCGGATTACCTATAGAGTATATAGTAGGTATACATAAAATATACGAATTTGGCTAGTGTAGTTAATACTCAAGTAGTGAGGAGGTCCTCGAACACGCCATTAAACATTATTATATTCAAACAATAATATTAAATAAATAATAGAATAAATCTAGTATTTTGAGTAATGTTGTTTAAAAATTTAAATACGATATCAATGTAAGTTTTGCCTTATTTTGAAAAATGCAAAAATATGTATTTATTTAGTAAATAGTTAGGAAAATTAGGCAATTACTATTATTTGTTTTTGGTATGGGCTCGCAAGAGTTTTTGTTATTATTAAGCAGTGGTTTGTTGTAGGAAAAGTAAGGTAAACGCTGGGATAGTAAATGTATAATAATATCTTAATATTCAATTTAATACAACCGATTTTGAATTGAATACTATTGATCTTTAAAGTAATATATATTTGCACTAGAACACGAAAACCAATATCATAGAATGTTGAAGTTTAGTTGTAACTATATCTATGTAACAACATATTATATACGCGTGCGTTAAAAAACTAACAAAACTATTGATATTGAGGGTGTAGCAAATAACCATAACAATAAATCGTAGAATTTACTCTCGGTGATATTATTATTTTAATAGTTAATTACAAAGAAGCTGAAATATATAGGTTAATTATGCATTATTCGATGTGGTGTATTTTTATTTTTTAATAACGTATAAAGAAAAAATTACATGCATTAGTATCTCGAAAAGTATTGACATTTTAAAAATAATTTTAATTCATACAAAATAGCATTAAAATAAAATAAATGAAAAATGTATTACAAATTGTGTAAAAAAAATATTTATAGAAACTTTAATACATGCATCACTTTGAGATATCAAGTGTTTACTGTTGGCTGTACCCAATGTACAGCCGCGCGCGTATCATATAATATATATTGATAATTGTTAATTTGATTAAATATTGCCGTTATAAAAAAATAAACGAACATAATAATTTATTAAAACAACACAATGCACGTGCAGTTTTAGGTTAGCGCGACAGTCGTATGATTTATTTTTTGCACATTTTACGCTCTAAAACGTCCACTGGTTTTGAGTGGACATTATATTAAAATACACGTACCGATATAATATAATATATATGCGTTTACGGCCATGTACGAATAAAGCCGCTGGTCACTTGCTGCCACTGCAATGTCACGAATTCATGAAAGAAGCATAAATAATATCGTGAGACTTACGTATATAAATATAGTAAAATGCGTCGGTCGACGAACGACTATAGTTTTATCATAGCTGTACATCAATCGTTAATCCGCAAGTAAATAGAGATACCTTTGTTTCTTTTTAAAAAAAAAAATGATATTTTATTAACAGTATCATCACTTATCTACAGCTCCATAATTAATACAAGTGTACTTTATGCGACTGTAAATTATGGTGAATTACGAAGGACGTTTTCCAATGCAAATGATTCGTACACGATCATAATATTTTCATTATTACATTAACATTTGTAAATGCGACGTGTTTTTCATTGACTTGCGAATTCCACGAGTGTTTTATATATGTATACGTAATATTATTATTTTACCAGATAGGTACATAATAATAATAGCCGGCTTACTCTTATGTTTCCATGTAAATATTTATTTATGATATACAAAACATATTATAAAATTTTAACCACGCATATTTATATTATTTTACTTTAATAATATTTTTATCAAATACGTTTCGAACAAAAAATAATAAAACATTACTGGCGCACGGATCGTGGATATAGGTTATATAATAGTCTCCGGTAGCTATTGCCTGTTGCAATAAACTACACAAGGTGTAATTATTTACGTCTAGTCCATCTAGACTAACTTATTGAGAGTGTAATGGAAATAATCGACAAAATATTATTCTGTAATTAATTATGACTTTATTAATTCTAATATTTTTTATTTCAATAAATAATCTTTTTTATATATAATTACATAATATGATGATAAAATGTTGTAGTCATAATATTATAGTTACTAGTTAGTTATTTTTATTTTTGATACAACCAGTTTGAACCCGTACAATCGTATAGGAGGTACTCACTTCGTTTATCTATTTGGCACGTCGCTATTGCTACATTAATACGTAATAAGAAAATATTATAGTTGTCTAAGTATTTATATAAAATATAATATATTTATCTATATTGAGAAGAAATATTTCATGGTTGTAACTTAAAAATAAATATTCTATGTATCAAGTTAATTTAAAATTATTTTAACGTTTAATAATAGTTAGGTATTCTGAATCACAATAAATGTGTTGTATCTTGACAGAATGATAAAATACAATTTATAAGGTTCATAAATTGGTAAAAGAGTTATTTTTGACGGGATATCACTGATAACAGACTGAGCGTGTTCATAGACAGACATGGACCAGTTATAAGGCTATAACTACTAGGGCCAGTACTGTACTACTTATATCTAAAGGTCAGTAAACCAATTACTCTTACCTTTTAGTTTTACTGTCATGACATGAAAAATATATTTTTGTTTCATCTAATTCCATTAATATATTAAATTATCATACATTTTATTTATATTAAAATAATTAAAAATTAAAAACTAATATTATGATAATCAATTGATTATCGGGTAACTATTTTTTGTAAAAAAATAAAAATATTTTTGTATTTAAAATATTAATATAGTTGGTTTAAACTCAATGCATACTATAACAGTATTGACACTAATTTCCCTCCTTACCGAGGTCGTTCATAAACGGTTCTCTCCTTAGTTTTAAGTTTTCTAATTAAATATACCTAATACTTATCTCTCAATCACCTTTATTATTTAATCATGCTTTTATAATTTTATCACATAATACCGTTGTTCAGTTGTTTGCAAACTAACAACCTACTATTATTTTATATTGTTGTCATGCTATACGTATAATCTAAACTATTATGTTATCTACTAACCCTTAAGGTCCTTACACACTAGGCGAATAGTTCGCGCGCGGACGCGATTTTAAATCGCCGCGAACGTTCGCTCAAAATTAAACAGCTTGTATTTAATTAGACCATTCACACTATGTAAAGCAAGCGGATAAAATCCGCCATCGTCCGCAATCGATCGCGCATGTTTAATTTTAGGCGAACATTCGCCCAAAACGGCTAAAATTAAACACGTTGTTTTGACTGGGTCTATTCACACTGGGCGATTGTTCGCGCGCGTTTTCGCGAATATTCTATTTTAAATATTTTAAAATAATTTAAAATATCAAAATATTAATATTTTACATTTTAGTGGTCAGTTATTGATAGATCGTTACTGGTGGTAAGTACGTTACATACATCATACGTCTGATCGTCTGAAGTATACATTTTTATAATTTTAAATTGTTTTTCAATATGAGTTCAGCTAGTTTTGATCTAGAATCTTTTATTATTGAGATATCTCAAGAAAACTCAATCTGGAATTTAGGTGAGTATTTTTTAAACACTGAAAGGTGTTTTTTAATTTTACTATGTAGATATATATTTTTTTGTGGTTTGAAGTAGTATAATTTTTTCTACAAAAACATTCACCGCTCCAATCTGAATCAAAAAAATGATTATTTAAATAATTATATTGTTTTATTTTTATTAATATATTGTGTGATCTACATATCATACTTAGAATCAAAAGAGTACCACGACAAAATTGAAAAACAAAAGAGCTGGTTAAAGATTGCAAAGGCTACTCTAAACGATTTTGACAAGCTTGAAGCAACCGAGAAAAAAGTCAAAAGTAAGTATTTAGGTTAACATAGCTATATTCATTATATTTACTCTATTATTACTAATTATAAGTTATGAGCATCACAGATTTGTAAAGTATTCAAATAAAAGTTTATTAATAGGTAGGTACCTATTTGTTTTATACTTGAAAATACTTTTCTAATATTATAATGGGTGTACTATACATATATAAATTAAAAAACCGAGGAAATCCATCTTGGCAAAATATGAAATAAAAGTTTTCTTCGCAAGACGCGCGGCATAGTAGTTTTAAAAATATCTTGCATGAACAATTAAAAAACATAAAAATAAATATTTGTGTTGTATTATTGATGTATATATTGAAAAAATTGTAATAATATTTATTAAAATTATAATAAAAAAAATATAATGTAACATAACATAAATTGTATCATAATATAAAATGTAATAATAATATAAGTACATATTATTATAATGAATCTAATTAGGTAATTAAAAAATTAAAATATAAAAATTATAAAATAATAGTACAACATTAATAATTTAAGTTATCTACCATTATTACTTCTCTCCAAATCTATATTATATACGGAATTTATACTGTTTAGATCATAGTAAACATGAAGTTAATGAAATTAGTATAATATATTTGTAGAAAAAATAATAGTTAATAATAATAAAAAAAACACTTAAGTTAAAAATTATGGATACAATACAACTCCGTATAATATTTAAGGTTAAAATAATAAGTATAGGTTATATAAGTAAAATAAATGTATATTCAAACTATAACTTTATTTTGCCAGCTTAGAGCATATTTTGGGTCGTTAAAGTATTTTACGAAATACTCTCTTATATCTTTAGCATTGGAAGATGCATTTCCAACACCAATTTTGTCTGATATATCATCCATTTCACAATTAATCGTATCCTCAATATTAGAACCATCCCTACGACGTACAAAATTATGCAATACGCATGCTGCCTTAGTTATAGACACAGCAACATCTGGTGTTACTAATAAAGTAGAATGGAAAACTCTCCATTTGTTGGACAAAATTCCAAAAGAACACTCTATGTGTTGCCTAGCTCTAGAAAGGCGATAATTAAATATTCTTCTGTTGTTGTTCAAACTTCTACCAGGAAAAGGTCTTAATAAACGCTTACTTAACGCAAACGCTTCATCTGCAACGAGTACAAATGGCTGAGAGACACCATCTTCATCTCCAGGTAGGCATCTATCTTTAGGGAAGTTTATTTTGTCGGAATATACTTTTTTCCCAAAAGGGCTTTGTTTAAAAATATTGCAATCACTTTCTTTCCCAAAAGAACCCACATCGATTACAGTAAAACAATAATTGGAATCGCAAACCGCCAGTAAAACCAAAGAAAAAAAATGTTTATAATTGTAGTACTGAGTTCCACTGTTTTTTGGACATTGCAATCTGATGTGTTTACCATCGACCGCTCCAACGCAATTTGGAAATTGCGTCTTTGTATAGAAACCTTCCGCTATTTCCAACCAATTTTCTTCTGTAGGTGGTGTCATTTCAGTGGGTTGTAACTCGTCCCATAACACTACACACGTTTCATGAATGACTTTGGCTATAGTCGACACACCCATCAAAAAGTCGAAATGCAATGACGAAAAATTTGTTCCAGTAGCCAAGTATCTAAATTTAAAAAAAGGAAAATTATAAATACTATACATATACATAAAACTATTTATCATTTAAATATATTATAGGTAGTATAAATAAATAAAAACCATAAAATTATTGTAATTTATAACATTCATCATCATAAGCCGCGAGTCCACGGAAACAGGGTATAATAGACTTAATTACTCATTATCATGTAAATGTTTTTCAATTTTGTTTGCGGGACGTTAAATTAGACTATAATAAGAATTATAAATTCTTATGGGCTATGACTTACAATTTTTTAACTCGAGTATTTTGTAACTTGTATTCTCATCCCGAAATTGGTAAAATTAAAGCTATAGGTGTAAATTAAAAAAAAATATATTAAATTAATTTTTTTTTTAGTTGTACGTGTTTTTTTCTTTTGTTCTAAACACCATATTATACATTATACATTTATTATTGAAGTAATAAATTATTTATTATTTATGAATTATTATTTTATTTTATTATTATTTATTACACATTAAGAAATTACATAATTTATTATAATTTTATTCGAATAAGGACAAATTGACGTTGGCCGTTTGGACGTGGGGACAATTGGATGTAAATAATAAATTTAAAGAAAATAAATAATTTTTTAATAGATCATCATCAAAATATATTAATCTAACCTAAAAATTGTTCAAAAGTATGACACTAGAACTAAAATATCATTTTTACGCGGAATCGTTTAAAACATTTCTGTGCATTAAAATAAAATGTTGATCGTTTTTTAATATTATAACATAAGATAAGTTATATAATTCATAAATTTTTTAGATATTTTAAACAATAAATAATTTTTTTTTATTAGATTCTGAACGGGGTGATTATGAATGTATTGATTTTACAATGATATGTGTTTTTTATTTTTGTGTCTGTCATTCCTTTTCGGAATACTAATAATGATTCGATTTTTGACTTCGACCCCTCTTTGAAAAGAAAAATTCATCTAATTGGTACTTTAAAACTTTTGAAGTTATTGAACTGCAGAAAAAATGGAAAAATTTGAGGGATACTTATAAAAAAAAATGTGTGACAAAATCAGGCCAAGCAGCGAATAAAAAAAAAAAATACGTATACTCAGAAATTTTAGAGTTTTTGCGACCAACTATGGAAAATAGAAGGTAAATACTAGTACTATTAAGTACTTCAATTATCCTTGAATATTTATTGAGATTTACTAATTTATAATAAATTATGCATTTTAGAACAGAGGGAAATTATAGCGATGATGAGGAAGAAACAGAGGACGAACAAGGCAATAATAAGGAACATGATGAAACGGTGGAAGGGGATTTCATTGATGCAAATGAAAAGTCTATGCGTGCTTCTTCCGATGAAGCACTTACAAATTTAAAAACTATAAAAAAACGTAAAAAAAAAAATATTAATTTTGAAGAAGAATTATTGAAATCTTTAAACAGCCAAAAAGAAGAAGAATCCGACCCAGATAAATTATTTTTATTGTCGCTCTTGCCCCAAATGAAATCTGTCGGTGAAGACAAAAAGCCAATGCTCTACGTTGAGCTAATAAACACCATACAAAGAGTAAAAACGCTTCCTCAAGATAATACAGCATTACATCGCCAGTTATACCAAACCAACTCATATTCGCAGTCATTATCGGAACCTGCAATGTATCCTATTACTAATCCTGCAATGCAATCTACATTTCAGTCATCATCGTATTCAAACGGTTTTAACTATACTAATATTTAAATTTATTAGAACTTATATATTTTTTTTTAATATTTAAATATTATTTTACTTATTATATTTTAGACAATCCTAATTTATTTACATTTATATTCTAAAACACCAGTACATTTTATATTTATTTCATAATTACTTTTTCTAAGTGTTTTCTACATTTTTTTAAATAATATTATTTAAACTAAGGCTGCTAAACGTAAATCCTTACTTTTATTTTAGAACTTTTGTTTTGTATTTACAACTATTTTACATGGGTGTGCACCTTTTTGTATTTTGTTCAATAATAGTTATTTAATAGGTATAAGTATGATTTGAATATTTAAAGAATATATTCAAGAGCTAAGACTTCTATGTATTTTTATTTCATAATTAACAAATAATTAATAAATATAATTACCTATATAATCAAATGTGGCTTTGTTTAATAATTAATTTATAGTTTTGATTTTGTGTACATAACAATTCAATGGGAGATCTATGGATTAATCCCCCATGGCCTTTTAGGACAGAATAAAAATTTATCTTACAATATTATTTTTTTTGTGCATTAAAATTTCTTTTACAGATCCCCCCTCAGAAAAAAATTTGTATACGCACTGCTTAAAATATTTATGTAGTTTAACTATTTTACCTTAATGTCACTGACAATCTTTCCTCGGGTGGTATTGAATTGCGTAGAATTGTATTTTCTTTTTGCAATCTATGCTTAACACGTGATAACTAAGATTTAAAATAATAATTTTCATTTTAATATATATTCATGTGATAATAATAATAATTTTACTTACCAGTTCATCAAATGATGAAATTGACATACGGTAGTAGTTTTTGAACTCATCTGAATGAGATCTTAACATCATAAATGTTACTTGAAATTGGCCTTCACGTGGCCTTTTCAAGTTAAGGGGATGGACCCAATAACGTCTATTTGTTCGTTTATTCTGTTTTTTCTTATATAATATATAAGCAAGGCACACAGTCTGAGCGCGACTCAAAAAAACCATTTTTTAATAATAAATTATATTTATAAATAAAAAACTTTAACGCACGAACGGTAGCAAGACCATGCAGAATGACTAACCACGAGGTAATGATGATTTGGCGCGGATTTTAACCGCGTAAAATTGCATAGTGTGTAAGCTTTGTGTTTTAGCGAATATAATTCGAGGCGATTTTAAATCGCGTCCGCGCGCGAACTATTCGCCTAGTGTGTAAGGACCTTTAGTATTTATTATTAGGCATGTTAATTTTATTTTATTTGGATTATGTTATTACTATCACATACTGTATTTTTATCTATATTATTCATATTCTATTTACATCTTGTTTCAAATTCAATACCATATTTATATTTTATAATTGTCGAACTATAATAGTTTTTTGCTGGAAGTTCTAAAATAAAAAAAAGAAAAAAGAACAGTATTGACATTTTTATAATAATAAAAATTATTATGGTTTTGAGTGATACAAATGCCTATATAGTATATGCACATTATACACACAAAAATGCAAAATTAAGTTTTAATATTCGCAAACAATTTCAAGGCGTAATCGGTTCGTTGAATTACACAGTACTTTATAATATGTAATATCATAATAATGATTCTATTTTCTATTAGATACATATACATTTATATAAGCTTATTAAAGTTGTATACTAAATATAATAAATATTTATTTTACATATTATTTTGAATTTAAATTGCGAATGGCTATTATTTAACGCAATTAATCTATCAACCTTGAAAAGTTACCAAGTTCAATAGGTAAATTTTGGGTCAGATATGCAATGTACCTGTGCAATAAGACGCAGTAATATGAAATTAATTATTATACCTATATTGTAAGTAATGATTTATTATAATTTGAACCAATATTTATTTTTTTTTGCGTATCTCGGTGTATAAAAAATTAATTTTTTTTTTAAGTACTTGTTTTAAACGAACCGTAAACACATGCGTTATGTGAGGCTTAATAAACAGAATAGGGTTTCGTTGGAATGGTATACGGACTCTAATTGGACATCGATGATAACCATTGATGTATACTATACAGTCCTATGCGATATAAATAATAATTATCGTTTCTGGAATTCATTTAGTGGATATGCGTCGAGGGGATCGGATACCGACTGCAAAATTATATTCTGTTTTACTGTTTACACTAAATAATATTATTAGGTATGTTTATTTTAGTTATAGGTATTTATAAATTAACTCGAATCACGCATTATATACGATATAAAAATATGATTAAATAGATATATTGGACGCAAATCTAATTCGAATAACTTACTGAACTATATATATATATGTATTGAATTTATTGAATTACAAAATATTATTCTGTATAACGAATAATAAAAACAGACAATAAATTCAATTCCACAATTTAAAAAGATTATATATATATTTCATATTTTATAACATTTATACATATGACTAAAAATTAAACTCGATTTTACATAATATTTTATACTGTTTTCATGTAGAAACCAAACGAAAAGTTAAAAAAAATCAATAGCATCCTATAGTTTGATGCTTTTCATGATTATGAAATACGGCAATCACGATGAGAGGAGACCAGATCATAGTAAAACATAATATGCATTTTATAGAATATATGGAAATAACTTGGACATAATATTTAATATAGTAACAAGATTTAATATGATATGCGGAGATGTAAAGGTTGGAGATGCATTAATTAGTTCAAAAATTGGTTTTTTCCAATTTTATAAAAATTAGTTAACTTTTTAATTAACTTAATAACTTAACTAGTTATAATATCTATCCATTATCATAACTTTGATTCTTCAGAAATAATGATTAATGAGTTAAATTAAAATCATGTCTTATAAATAACTATAACTTTATAGTTTGTTAAAACTAATTAATTAATTTCTTTTTGATTTTATTCAGGTTGTATAAAATGATTTTTTTGTTTTTAAATAAAAACAAATAAATACATATTCCTTAATTTAATAATTTAATTAACACATAGGTATAATTATCGTCAATACAGCTCAACGCTTGTAAATAATAAAAAGGAATTCTTTCTGGCGTAGGGTGAATTTAAGCATTTTAAACAAAACGTTTGGTTATTATAATGAAAATATTTGAAAGTTGCTCAATAGCTATTGCCTATTTGTGTAATCTAGGTAGCATTAAAGAGTTAACATTTAATTCTCCGTGTAAATTTTACACTTTTATAATTAAATAATATTATATCGTTCGTTGACTATTTACTTACAACTGCGAGCATTATCAACGTTGACATTTGCTCATCGAACACGCGTTCGATTTTTTTTATTAAATTTCCCGATTTTACAGCAAAGGAGACAAGTGACTACAATATAACGTGCACGGGGTCTTACGTATAGTTTCTTCGTGAAAGATCTTGTATATATCTCGTCTCGAACTTTGACGGAGTAAAAAGTTCGAGGTCGTCAAACACTAATCACAACAATTGTACATCTAGACGATAGGCTAATACGATACGAAATTAAACACACACACTTATCACTGTTATTATACACTATAAAACGATTCTTTTATACTTTCTTTCAATCGTTGTTGTTAGTTTTTTGAATAATTAGACTCCGAGTTGTCATTGGGTCCATGCGCATTTAACGAACGCTTGTCTTTCGTTAGGGGGTGGGGGGGGGGTGTCAGCGTTCACTCGAAAGATTTAACGCGGCGCGTACGTTTTTTAGAATAATAATATATCCCGATGTTTTTTCTTTTTCAGAAACGACTTCGACATGGAATTTGAACATTATTAATAATGCGTTCGGCCGGTATTTGACGTCTCATAAATACGCCACTGACGCGTCCGCGTATGCGCGATGCGGCGGCGTGTGTGTTGTCGGTCGTCACCACAGCGAGTTCGCCGCGGTTATTCCCACGGCCGCCACACAGACGTCGTGCGGAATAGGAAAAAGAAAAAAAAAAATTATGAAAAACCGAACGACATAAATCAGGTACGGTTCGTTCACCACGCGCATAATAACAATAATAATAATAACGCGTACACACAATAATATGATATGATATATTATTATTATTAATATTGTGTATTATACGGCGCGTTAAAACCGATCCGTTGCGTGAGCGCGTTTTACACAGTTTTTACGCGTTATATTATATTATTATGAATTTTTTCGTCGAACGATCGCTGTACAATATACGTATTATTATTATTATTATTATTATTATATTGTTATGCGAATACCCGTGGTGATTATATTATTATTATTATTATTATTATCGTAACACGGTAGTCGTTGGCGTATACATACTGCACTCGGCTTGCACTGTCGTCGTCTGTCGCAGCTCGTCCGCGATATTATTACCATAATTTTATTATTGTTGTCGTCGTCGTTATATTTATCGGTGTCGTTGGGCCATAACGACACATTATTTACAATAACACAGTAATATATATATATATATATATATTAATGCCCACACGGTGATCATCTGATCAATGGACGAAAACACAACCATTGTGCCGCCGATTCACACTACAGTTCGAGGGCGGCGGCGGTAAGAGGAACGCTGTTGTGAAGAGTGTGTGTTTTGTGTTCATGTGTGTGTTGCGGATTTCGCGAATACCTCTTCTTATTATATTGTAATATAGATACAAACGTACGATGTTGATTTATTGGAAACTGTTTTTGAGAATATTATTGTCAATGTAAATATCGTATTATTATTGTATTCCCCGGAATCGACGTATCGACGACCTATGTAGAATAATATTTTATTGTTTGATGTTATAAATCATATCATATTATTCGTATTGGCGTTTGGCATACCTATATACACTGTCTTTTGCTGTGCGGCAGTCGGATGGAATACTGACCGCTTTCGCATACCTCGATTATGATATAATTCGATATTTGAAATATTCCTTGGATTATAGCATGCGGATAGGATATAGTTACCAGTTACCACCGGCCTATCTAGAACTTTCGCCGGTGCAAAAACCGTTAAAATCGTCTTCACGATGTTTTAATCTAGATAAAATCTCATTCACAATTGTAAAAATTAAAGTTAATTCAAACATGTTATAGTTTTGTTAAAAAAAAACTATACTCTGTAAATATTAATACTAATATTCTGTAAGTAATTCTTTAAATACCTAACCAATATATGTTATTTGATACAAAAGTGTCATAATTTTAAATTTATATACTTAAGTTTAAATGAAAAAGTCAGGAAATAAAAAAAAACCGTTAACACGAGTTAACACAAGTATTGAGTTTAGTACACGATTGATCAGAGTTTAGTTCGGCTCAAGAAGTTAAACTAGGTACTTCACGTGGATCAGTTGTGCTTGAAATTAATTTTGCATTTTAGGATCAGTCGTGTATCTATTTTACGAACAATAAACCGATAAAACTTAGTGATTACTTTTTCGTTTTACCTTCAGGTTTAAGAAACATGTTTTTAATTCCATAAATCAGACTTACATGTTCTCACAAATGGTATATTTACATTATAATTAAAAAGTTATTTTTTCGAAAATCTTAATTTTTACTAGAATAAAAATACGTATTTCTGCGTTTTTCTTTACTTTTTAAGTGATTTTGAATTTGCGAGGAAAGGAGAGACTTGCGAACTTAAAAAGTAAGCTGGAATGTTCACGGGAAAGGAATAGTTTATATTTGTGTAAAAAAATAATCGTCAAATTAATTTTTACTATTGAATAACTTAATTTTCCGATTAAAGTATGTTGATGATACCTGTTGCTAGTTTTATGTAATTCTACAGGGAATGTGTTATGAGAGTTTAAAATTTAAGCTTGAGAATATTCAATTGTGTGGCAAACACTATATTCGTAAAATAAATTTTTTCAAAAATTTTTATTTTTATTAGAGCCATAAACACGAGTTTCTTTACGCTTCATATTATTTTGAATTTACGGGGGAATAAGAGATTTTCGAATTTAAAACAATGAATTTAAACGTTAATGAAATGGTGTACTTTTATTCACAAAAAAAAATTTGAAAAATTTTATTTTTAATATCGAATATAGTAAGAGAAATGGATTGTACGAGTATAATGTGAATTTAAAAACTAAGGTTGTATGTATTCACGTTCATGGAAAATCGGTGAACATTACATTCGTAAAAAAATGTTCATAATATCTTAATTTTTAATAGAATACGCAT